TAAAATGGACCTGTGTTCCAAAACCGTCGCTGCTGGTTTGATGGCTTGATCTGCTTCATCTCCCTTGAGGGCAACAACTCCAGATCGGCTCACAAGAGCAGACTGACCCCTTCCAGCAGCCTTGCTTCAATTCCCACCGCTAGAGCCATTGACCATGGAAATCCTGCAGAGCTGACTTCAGGGGCACACTCCCATACCCCACCCATCTTTTGGTAAGGGTTGGTGGGGCAGCCCAGGTCAATGTTCATCCACTGGCAAGAAATGCCAAAAGATAAGAGATACAAAATTGAAACCCCTGTGTTCACTTCATTAAAAGGCTGAGTTAAAGTTCAACTATTTTATGAAATTTGACAACACTCAGAAAAAACAAATTGCTTAGCATCCCTTCTGTTTTCTCAAGACATACACAGCTCACGCGCTGTTACAAATGAGTCGCCTGAAATGATTTATGAACTCAATGACAATACTAGCATTATAAACCTTGATATCATCAAAGTTTGTTTCCCTAAACTTAGGATTTAGAGGTCACATTACCTATTAACATGCATGAAAAACCAAGGTGCAGACTGGTTCTCAAGGTCAATAATTGACCCCCAAATCCACATTCTGATGCTGACCTGCTATTCTGCTAACCTTCGTAACTCTCCAGAACATTCTTACAGTGCTTTTCTTCTCCTCATCATCATCACTTTGGAAGGACACAGGTATTTTGGTCATCTAATCAGGTGGAGAACAACAAAGTGACCAAAATGTCCTACTACCCATTGGCCACAGATCAACTCCAAGTCAAGGGTTTCAGGTCACTTGTACAGGAGACAGACACAACAGATAAGCAAGGACACACACACATGGAGTCAGCCAGTGGCTGCCTCTCACCCATAGGGTGACATCCTGCCAACAGGGGCATAGCTTTTAACTACTTCAGAGTTTTCAGAAGGGTGCAAAGTATTTGAGATCATTTCCCACAGAAGGGGAAGGTATATAATATGATTTATAAACCATCAAAACAAAGAACAGTCTTAGGACATATTTTTACTTATACTTCATGCACACGTGAACATGGAAATCAACCCTTCTGAGCAGATCCGACTGGAAATGACTGCTGCTCTTCAGCAACAACTTTTAAGCATAAAACCACCATGCAACACCATGCAGAAACAGCCTGATCAGCAACACTGCAAGCCCCAGACTTTAGCAGCATATTTTTAGAGTTGACCTCATTTTACCTGATTCTCTTTCACTGGAATCTGATTAGAGAATACAGACTCATCTCTCTCATTGCCCAGCCTTTAAACAAACTATACTGATGCATGATTTTAAACACCCAAACCAAAATAGCTCTATTTGTACTGTAGAAGTTTTTAATCATAGTTTACTTTGGAATATGACTTGTGTCCCTGGGAGAGCCCAGAAGAAAGTTACTGTCTTTGAAGCAGGTGCTTAGCTGTGAGCTCCTGTGTGCAGTTACTCTGTGTAAGCAATGAAGGAGGCAGTAGCACAGACCACCCTCCCCTGGTGTACCCCTGTCACAATGCTTTCTGAACACAGCCTGAGTCACAGCCACTGTCAAACACAAGCTACCCAGATTTTCAAGTTCCTTTTGTTGCCTCCTGGCTCAGTTATTCCTAATGGAAAATGACAACGTTCTTAAAGCAACATAAACCAGCACCGAGACAGACTCCTTCCCCTGTTCTGTTCAGATGCACACTTCGCTAGACTCAGAGAGTGGCATCCAGTGTTGAGTTAACCTGCTTCTCCCCGACATCTCCTCCTCTTAAACAGCCAGTGGAGCAAAATGTTGCAAAGTTACACAGAAAAGATGATAAAAGTCAAACCATTCAAGTGGATAAATGGTCTCTGGGTAATCAAATGGCTGTGTTTTACTTCAAAATGCCTCAAATGAGTGCATGTGGAGCTCAGGGCAGAGCACCTGCCCAGCGAGCTGGAGACGTGGGTCCCATCCCCAGCACCACTGTGCCTCCTACGATGCTTATTTTCCTTTACAACGGATTTGCCTTCCTGATCTGTATCTGACTTCTGGTTATACAAAAATCAGCTGGAATTACTAAGCAGATTTAATTAATCATAGAGGAGATGATCCAGGAAAGTGGGCATCAGAAATAATCTGGGATCAAAAACAGTGATTACTGAAATAATTCAAAAAAGAATAGATGGGGTATCTGAACTGTTTCATTCTCTCTCTTTCCCAAGGTATTATGATTAACTTTAATTAATAATGTAATAAATTAATAAAAATTAATTCATTTAATAAATATAATAGAATTTTATGATAAACATTAAAAAAAAACTCAGTAGAACCAGCTAGATTCTAATACAAGTCATATTCTCATTTAGTTAGATGAGCATTTCATTCAACTAAATGCTACTTAAAATAAGTAAGCCTACACTGAAAAATATGCCCATTAAAGGAAATCTTTGGTAGTGAATCTGATTTTGTGTGTGTGTGTGTGTGTGTGTATTTTTTTAGTTGTAGATGGACTATAATCTGACCTATTTATCATTCTGATAAAGTAAATCCATAAGCAGGAGAAAATGGTAAAGGTTAAAAATTCCCAACAGTCCCACTTTACCTCAGCCCTCCATTCCCCAAGAGTGAGCATTGTCACTGAGTCATTTCACAGAAGGCAATGCTGACAACAAGAGCCAAAGAAAGGGACAGTTTAAAAGGAACTGTACTTCTGCTCAGAGAGTGAGTGAGCACATCTTCGTAACTAGACTTATCAAAATAATATTAAGGACTGGGCACGGTAGCACACATCTGTCATCCCAGCAGCTAGGGAGGCTGAGGCAGGAGGATCCTGAGGTTCAAAGCCAGCCTCAGCAAAATCGAGGAACCAAGAAACGCAGTCAGACCCTGTCTCTAAAAAAATACAAAATAGGGCTGGGGATGTGGCTCAGTGGTCAGGTGCCACATCCCGAGTTTCAATCCCTGGTACCCCAAAACAAAAACAAAACAATAACATTAGAAAATAAATCTACTGGCCTCTCAGCGTCACCAGTTGCTGTGTGCACGTAGAGGACTGAGCTAGCTTGCAATGAACACCTCTTTGCTGCTTACACATGGAAAAAAAAAAAAAGAAAAAGAAAATAAATCTACTGGGGAAGAAGACATGATGCCTACTAAAAAATGACAACCTGAACTGTGCCCAGCAAGCTCTCTGCCACCACCCGAGAAACTGGCAGGCCCCTACCTGCAGTCTTTGGCAAAGCTGGTTTGCCATCAGACTCCAAAATACACAGAATGGAGCAAATATGTACTGAAGCACTTTTAAAGCACATGACTGAGCAGACTGATTTTTTGAATGGAACTTCTCTTTCTTATTTTAAATAGAGAATGAGAACATTTCCAGAGATGGAAGGTTCTCCTTTGTGAAGTAACTTACAGGAATAAAAGTATAATTACAATGCTTTTAAGACCCTGAACTTACAATGCACGGTTTTTAAAACATTCTGATGCACATTTTTGTTGTAAGTTTGAAAAAAACTTTTGACTTATTAATCTATGCAAAGGCTTACAATGCCTTATCCTGACTGTGACAGCAGGCCCTTGCAATGAATAGATTCTAAAAGAAATATATTAAATGTATTAAATAAACTACCCAAAATAATGATGGTTAATCTATAGATTTTTTTTTTTCATTTTAAGGAACCTCCAGAAAAGCAAGATGATTCAAAATAATAGTGGAAGAAATAAAATATTCTTTAAAAATAAAGCAAGAAAGACAGTAATCACTTGCTGTCATCCTACTGCCATCCGAGACGGTGCTCTCTTGTGGTGGAATCTGGCGTGCCTGTCTTGGCTCACTATACACTCTGGCACTGAATGCTGTCAGAGTGCTAAAGCAGAAGCACACAAGTCTAAACGAGTCTGCCTACAACTTGGCCAGTGGGGCAATGGCCTGAAAAGCTGGCTGCCAACCTTGACAGACTCACACCTAAAGCAGCAGCCTGTACTGATGAGGCACAAAAAACCACACAGCTCCATGGAAGCTCTGACTTCTACCTTCCCCTTAAACCCATCCTGTGAATTACACTGTTCACTTTACGGTACTAGGGATTGAGCCCAAGGGTGCTTCACCGATGCACTATATCTCCAGCCCTTTTTATATTTTATTTTGAGACAGGGCCTAAGTTGCTAAAACGGAACTAGAACTTGTGATCCTCCTCAACCTCAGCATCCCGAGTAGCTGGGATCACAGGCATTTGACACCATGCCTGGCTACTTTACATTTTTACTGTGAGTAGAAATAAAATGTTAACTTTGGGCTGGACTCAATTTTTCATTTCTTGTCAACAGCTGGCTTAGGTGTGCTAAAACTCTGAATAAAATCCATCTACTCAATCAAAGTAGTCACTAAAAAAAGAAAAAACTGGGCTGGGATTGTGGCTCAGTGGTAGAGCGCTTGCCTAGTATGCATGAGGCACTGGGTTTGATCCCCTGCACCACATAAAAACAAATTTAAAAAAAAAGTATTGTGTCCATCTACAACTTAAAAAATATTTTTTAAAAAGGGAAAACCTTATGATATTCACAAAATGCCTCCTTACATCTTAAGAAATACAAAAAAGAAAGAAAGAGTACAAAGTGAGTACAAGTCAGGGGTCATCACACTGAAGCTGCAGAACGGCTGTCACAGGGAACAGGCTCCTTACACATTCAGCAGGGGAGCTGAATTACCAAACCAAAAGGCAAGAAATGGAACGGGGATCTATAACCAGAGGAAGGACTCATGACAGACAAGAACTGTTTGTCACTTAACGTGAAGGTCCGGCATCCCTCCCCGCGTGGTGTTCCTGTGTGGTTTACTATCAGACAATGTTTGTTTAAGACACAGGCACTCTTTCAAACTCCCCCCATCCACATCATCTATTGCGGCTGTCACCAGAGTGCGAAAGCAAGCCCCACTGTCTTCCACTGCTCCCCCCAGTCCACGAGATGTGCGCCCATCTTCACTCACCCTGCACCTGTTTAACTGTACCTGCAATCTTTATGGCTACAGGATCCTCTGAAACTGGAACAAGCCCTTCTTTGACTTCAACCTGCTTTTCAGAGACCAGGGGAGATGGGGTAGGAGGAGAACACTTGGTTTCCACATAGGCCACAGGTGAGGAGGAAGAGGGCTTAGAATCGTGGAAGAGGCTGGCCCAGGACTTGGCAGGCTGGCTAATGGGAATGGTGCCGGGCGCAGAGACCGTGCTGTCAGCAGGAGGTGACACGCTCTCGGGCTTCGCTGGGTCCAAGTCTATGCTTTCCACAGTATGCAACTCCATCCCGTTGGCAGCTGTGCCCTCACCGGAGGATTCAAGTATTTGTCCATTTGCAACTCCAAGGTTTTCAGTAGTATCAGTACCAGAGTAGGACGGAGCCACAGCTGTCCTTAGCAGGCTACCTGCAGGGAGGCAGGGCTGCTCAAAATCAGTCCCATGGCAGCCCTTAGGCTGCCCCGCAGTCCTGGCATCTCCGTCCAGTGCTCCAGGGAAAGGACCGTCAGGCACAGTGTCACTGATGAAGTCCACGGAGTTCTGAGGGCTGCCACAAGTCCTCGGCGTAACAGGTGGGAGTACATCACCCAGAAACCCTGTGTCCTCAGCACCCACGCTGGTGGGGCCTGCTGAAGCGGCGTGGCCGTTGACCAGGGCTGCTGTGGGAACACTCTCCTCGCCCCCATCTTTCAAGTAACTGTAATACCCAGGAGGCCGTTTTTTCTTCTTTTTACGCTCTCTTTGTCCAAGACCACCAGAGACACCATCATTTTCCAAAACTTCTGTCTCCACATTAGAACTGCTATGCAAAGTGAGGGCAGAGACTGGGCACTGGCAGTCAACAGTGCTGTAGTTCACCTCTTTATCGATGCCATCGGGGGTCTTTCTGGAAGTTGTACAACCAAGGATAAATTCAGGGGCCTGAGGATTCAATGTGCTTGAAATACTGTAGCTGGGGGTTCTCGGCAAAGTGTCATTGGGTTCAATTACTTCATTAACACCAAACTCAATTCTCTGATATTCTTGTCCTGTTTGGAGAGAAACTGATTAGTAAATAGCCACTTAGTTAAAACCATGGCTCTATAAACTATGAAAGTGCCAATAATGACTCATTTTATTTTTGAAAACTGAAACCTCAAATTGTTTTCCTAATTTAACAAATCTATAATATATTTTATTTCTAGCCAGGTGTGGTGGTGCACACCTGTAATCCCAGCATCTTGGGAGGCTGAGATAGGAGGATTGGGAGTTCAAAGCCAGCCTCAACAATGTTGAGGTGCTTAGCAACTCAGTGAGTCCCTGTCTCTAATAAAATACAAAATAGGGTGGGGATGGCTCAGTGGTCAAGTGCCCCTGAGTTCAATCCTTGGTACCGCCCCAAAAAAGAAAAAATAAATAAATAAATGTGTGTGTTTGTGTGTGTGTGTGTGTGTGTGTTTCTCTGTGTATAATTTCTATGTTTAATAAATAATTTGCTGAAAATAAATAATATCTATAAAATTATATTCAATGGAGATATGAAAAATAAAAACCTATGCTTTTCTTCAATCTTTTGGGTAACTAAGGAAGACTTTTAGAAGACAAAAGTTAAAATAAATTTGTGGTTAAAAAAATGTTTTGTCGGGCTGGGATTGTGGCTCAGTGGTAGAGTACTCGCCTCGCATGTGCAAGACCCTGCGTTCGAATCTCAGCATCACATAAGAATAAATGAGTGAAATAAAGGTATTGTGTCCAACTACAACTAAAAAATAAACATTTTTAAAAAAATGTTTTGTCTTGGGCTGGGGTTGTGGCTCAGTGGTGGAGTGCTTGCCTCACATGTAAAGCACTGGGTTCGATTCTCAACATTGCATATAAATAAATGAATAAAGGTCCAGATGGGCGCAGTGACACATGCCTGTAATCCTAGTGGCTCAGGAGGCTGAGGCAGGAAGATCACAAGTTCAAAGCCAGCCTTAGCAACAGTGAGGTGCTAAGCAACTCAGTGAGACCCTGTTTCTAAATAAAATTCAAAATAGGGCTGTGGATGTGGCTCAGTGGTTGAGAGCCCCTGAGTTCAATCCCTAGTGCCCCCCAAAAAATAAACAAATAAAAGTCTACCAATAACTAATTTTTTTTTAATTTTAACATTTAAAAAAATTTTTAAATTAAAACAAAAAGTTTTGTTTTTGTACATACCTCGGCTGTGAGGCGGATCAGTGGACAGCGCGTGCCTAGGTTCAATTCCCAGCACCACAAAACAACAACCAAACCTCAAAGGAAACTTGCTTACACCTTACTTTATGCTTATGTACTTTGGACAACTTACTTTGGGGGCTTGGGGGAGACATGGCGACCAAAACATTGTCACGTCAGCTTCTCTAATTAGTGTGACTCAAGAGCTCAGACACATGAGGTACACAAAGAATCCTGTCCAGAAGCATATACTGTCTCTGGGCCTCCTCCACGGGCACCTCAATGGAAACATGGAAATGGCCTCCTAAGGTGGACTCCATCAACTCCATGAGTGGCAAAGACACTTCCAAACACTCCAACAGATAAATCTGGACTTCTAAATATCTCTTTGGAACTTTTTTATACTTCCTCCCTGTTAGCCATAATCTACGTATTCATTAATGACAAACTGTACATATCTTCATAGCTCATTTCTCTAAAATTAGGTTGAATATGAGAACTGTGTCTTTCAATAGACTTCAAGCATCAATGTTACTCTCTATTTGACTAAAAGGTTTTAAGTTTGAAGCTAAGAAAAGGACACATGACTTATAATTCATTTTTAATGCAAGAGTGAAGATGTCACTGAGTCTAGCATAAGGGGCCAATGTTTTTTCAAGGAACATATTTCAAGAAAAGTTATCACACTGCACCAAGAATGGTGTCCTACTAGAGAAAACTGAATATGTTTTACCTTGGCTCCAAAGTCTTTTTTTAGGAATAAAAAACACAGACCAGTTAGGCACAGTGGCGTACACCTGTAACAGCTTTGGAGGCTGAGGCAGGAGGATCACAAGTTCAAAGCCAGCCTCAGCAACTTAATGAAACCCTGTCTCAAAAAATAAAAACCGGCTGGGATGTGGCTCAGTGGTTGAGCGCCCCTGGTTTCAATCCCCAGCACCAAAAAGAAAAATACAGACCAACAGAAGCCAATGATGTGCTAGTCAATGGGAGGGAAGAAGTCAGGTGCCTAATGGCCGACTGAGCTGAGTCTTCCATTTGTTTTAGTATCATAACTGGGGTGGGCAAGGGATGCAATCCTGCCCACAACAACAGAAAGTTCTTGGGAAAGAACACTGATCATGATTACACCTATCAGCAAGTCTACACTTAAAGCTACCAATAGGACAGCCTGTGTCCTCTGATCCCTGGGTATTCATTTTTTGTTTCCTTCATTAAAAAGAGAATGGTTATTCTGTCTAGGGGCTGACTGTCCATTCTGCTTCCAGCATCACCTACTCATGATATGTGTGAGGCTGCAAAGCTATGTGGACGGAGGTGAATGTGCCTGGGTGAAGGACACCCACCCAGGGAACCCGAGATGCTGGTGCGTGCTGTAAAACCTCATGGACTCAGCATGCTGCTCAGGTAAGGCTGTTTCCAGCAGAGCACTGCCTTCCCCACCTCGACTCTCAATCTCAGAGCGTTACATGAGCTGGGGGGAAGTAGCGTGGACACAGTTGCTACAACGTGCCACCCATACCACCAAGACGTCCACCCAGTACTGTTTGGCTGGCATCACTGGAAGGCGAAAATCACAGCCAGGACAGTTCCTCTTCCCGAGGATGCTAACAGTGGACACAAGTGCACTGCACGGTGGAAAGCTCAGGCAGAGCCCAGTGTGTCGGGAGAGAGTGGAGGAGGCCTGCGGGCATGGTTCTCAACATGGGAAGACAGGAAGGCTACACTCAGGTGCTGCAGGAACCAGAAGCAGCTCAGATGAAATGACAACATCCCAGGGCAGCGATTCTCAAAGGGTGCATAGTACGTGCAGTACAGTGGCCCGAGGTGCAAGGTAGGGGGCGGAAGGCCAGAGGTGAGCAAGGCCAGGTCCCCATGCAGGAAGCTCACACTTACTAAGGAGACAGACAAGCCAACCGAGGAGGAGGATGCAGAGAGTGAGGTGAAGCTGTGACTGCTGCTAGGCACAGAACCAGGTCATTTCAATAAGAGCTACAGAGAGGTCCGTGGAACCTGGAGGACAACTAAATGGGGTGGGGATTGAGGTGAGGCTATGAAGAGCTCTAGAAGCTGTCTAAAAAGGCAGAGCTATAAAAAGTGATGCTACGAGGAAGTGCCTGCAGGTGGTCTGCTGCAGCTGGCTGTGGTGGGAGGCACCAGCAGAAAGCATCTTAAATCATTCAGCCAACAAACACACCGAGGACTTCGGCCTTCTGGATGGATATACACTGTGCAGCTGACAGGCATTCAGAAATTAATGTGTCCCTGCCACCCACAGCTGGGCATGCTGAAAGGGAGGCAGACCCATTGCCATCCAGGGGGGCAGGCCCATCAAGAGTAACCAAAGTAATGGAAACACAGAGCAAAGAGGCTTCAGAGACAGGGGCCTAGCACACAGGCAGGTGGCAATATTCCAGCTGTGTTTCCAGTAGAATAAAAGAAGGATTAAGGGAGCAGAGAATGGAGGAGGAGAGCCAAGAAGTACAAAAGCCTAAAGGGGGAGTGGATGAGAGGGTGTGGGACCAGGAAGAAAGCACAGGAGGGAGAACAGAGCATCTGTAAGCACAGAACATGCAGCAGCATATGCTCTCTGCGTGCTCGGCAGAGGCACAGGAGGAAGGACCCAGCCCCCAGCATGTGCAGTCAGATAGAAAAGTGGCCTAGAGGCTACAGCAGGCTTTTGGGTCCCCAGAACTTCATCTGTTTTATTAATCATCCTCAGCTAATATTAAATCTGCACTTCCCCCTATAGTCTCCTATATTACTATTTCTTATAAAATGGATAACTTTAGATACAATCACTTTCAATGTTACCATGTAGAATAAAAGGTCAACTTGGTAAATCTTTTTTCACAAGTCTTACCACACTAACTAAAAAGGGAATCAAAACTCCTGGCTCTCCAAGAAATAATATTCTTTCAGCTTCTCAGAGGCCAGCAAGGGCCTTTAGTGCGAACTGAAAATGATCTAGACAGGTTTCAGCCTGAGACAGCAGCCTGTGCTGATTGCAGAGCCTTCTAGCATTTCAACACTGGTGCTGAAACAAAAGGAAATGGTTGCATCTCAATAAGTGCCATCCCTGGCCATCAGCCCAGGGTCTGTGACCAAGTCCAAAAGAGGGGCACACCAAGAAATGAAGCCTTTCCCTGAATTCCCAAGAGGGCAACCACAGCCTGGGGCAAAGAACAACAGTTCCAGATGGCCCTTAGATGTCCAAAAACTACCCCCAAGACCACCCATCCCTGGGCCTGCTGCTCCCCCAGCAGCAAAACGAGGAAACTCTCTTGAAACCTAAGCGTGAGGCTATAAAGAATGGCACACGTGTGGCGCTGAGAACACTTAAGAAAAAAACTAAACAACCATTCCCTAGGCTGAATCCCGAGTCTTGGACTCTGAGGTCCAACACACCCCTTAGAGCCAGTTTGCCAGTCAGAGCAGCTCACTGATGAATTACACTGTGGTTCAACAACTTAACACTACAAAGAAATGTTGATTCAAAAAGCATGAACCAGAGGACAGCAATGTTTGCAGGTAGCAGCCCACCAAGGACACCTGGCCAGAACCGAGTCGGGAAATAGGAGAGAACCAGCTTACCATCAGGCAGTTCATCTGCAGCCTGTGTTCCACACAGAGCTGTTCCGCTGTACGGAGGGAGCTGCACAAGGAATCAGAAAACAAATTTTAATTCAACAGAAAGTTAAAACCCAATACTTTCTACTGCACATTAAGGCAATATTTCATTAAAACCCTTTATCCATACAACTTCTCTTGACATTACTTTTACTAGAACAACATACATAGTGAGTCTCTAAAATCTAAGGAAAAAAAACACTATAGAAATGCTTTCAAATATTTATCATGAAACATCCAAAAATGAGGCCAAATTTTTAAATGAACTCTAACAGACATGGAAATTGGCTACAATAAATGCTTCTGACACAGACTTCTTTCCTTTCTTGGGCTGTTGGTGGCTGACCACAGAGACCACAGACCCTCTGCTGTCCACTAGTGAAGATGACTCTTCCTGACCATCTGCACTCTTTTCATGACCACCACAGCACAGCAGCAGAGGTTAGGACCAGGTCTATTGTCAGAGAGCAGAGAACAATAGCCCACCAGAAAGACGGGCCTGAGATCATGGCTCCCTTTTAAACACAGTGCCCCACGCATAAAGGAATCGATGGCTAGACATCATGTTTCTTGTTTGAGAGAAAGCAAATGACACAATCAGACTTCCTTGTAAAAAGCAGGATCATACTGTGAACCTCTCCAGTACTTCTTCCTAGCTAGTCCATGTTGACCCAAGAGCTGGGAATGCTTCACATGACATGTGTGGAAAAAGAAAATTTAGGAGAAGGAATTAGGTAAGAAAGAACAAATATCTGCTACCTGGAAGCAAACAGAAACCAAAACACCATCACTCTGTGCAACCCTTCTCCACATCTGCTCACACATCCATGCAGCACAATGGCCTGCAAGTCCAGATGGGGCTGGGGCCCACTGGGGTGGGAGCTCCCTGGCGGCTCTCACCCACTGCTGTTGTGGAGCTGCTGCCTGAGTGGCTGATGAACTCTTAGCAAGACAATTCGGCAATCACAACGGATAACCCCTCACACCTACCCCTAAGATCTTGCCCCTGAAAATAATGACAAACAGGAAAACAAGGGGGAAAAAAAGGGGTGACTAGAAGGGAAGCCAACACCTCAGGACCTGCAGCTGTACACAGTCCCCTGGTCAGGAGGCACCATACTCAGCACACAGACAAGTGCTGACATGGACACTGCACCTGGCCCCTGTAGAGCAGAGACCAGTCCACATGCCACACTTCAGGTGGACCACAGTCAGAGTAGAGGCATGCGTCTGTCCAAAGCAGTGGGCACAGAGCTGTCAAGGATACCACGAAGCATGACTCTGCCCTGCTTCAGTCACAAGAAGCAGTGTGCAAACTCTCATCCTAACATCTGCTCCTTCTGCCACTGCCAATGACACACAGGGTCCCCTGGAGATGGAGATCTATTTATACTATTTTGAATTACTGCACAAAAATGTCATCAAGAAGCCCAAAGGATGTCATAATCCCATATATCAGAAGAAAGTTCTCTTTACACCTATACTTTTTTCTCCATGGGGGAGAAAAGACTGAAAAAATAATCTTCAGCCCTCAGAGGCAGTGAGCTGGGAATACTACCCACGGACATCAGAAGCACTCCCTGACAGGATGGCCCAGCAACACAAGGCAATGCTGTCCGAGTGCTCAGGATATGCTGGACACGTCTTCCTGCTGCTTTCAGGAAGGGGGTCTGTTTCCATGGAGTACCAAGCAGCAGCCAGGGCTGAGCGTCCCAGGGAAGTGAACAAATGCACCTCTAGGAATCGGTATAGGAGGGTCCAATCACAGACCACCATCCAGCTCAGGTGCATCAATGCCCAAAGGATGTCACGATCTCATGTATCAGAACAAAGTTCTGTATTTTAGCATTTGCTTTGATTCGGTAATGTGGGGATTACTCGATGCTGGATGAATTCCAGCATAACTAAAATGGTTTCCCCACCTTTGGGCACATGGCACCTTTCATTCCACAAATCTCAACCACACATAAGATACCCCTTAGTCTCTGATAACTGGATAAAAAGATAACTTGATACAATAAATACACAGTAAAATAAAACTGGAAGAGTAGTTCAAAGTTCACTCTTTTTATTTATACAGCTACTTATAAGAATACAAAATTTGGGCTGGGGTTGTGGCTCAGTGGTAGAGCACTTGCCTAGCATGTGTGAGGTTCTGATTCGATTCTCAGTAGCACATATAAACAAACAAACAAACAAATAAATAAATAAAGGTCCATCAATAACTAATACAATTTTTAAAAAAAAATACAAAATTTAAAAAATCATAGCAGACATAAAATTCCCCACACAAATGCAAACTGAACAGTACAAAAAGCCAAAATCTAGTTATTTCAGATTTAATATCAAATCATCGTAAGTCTGAAAATACTGCTCTAGTCCTCGACAGGCATCCTGGGCAAAGGTCATGCTTCAGTCTCCTCCTGAGGTGGCCATGTTTTGCTCCCCACTGGAAGGACCCTTGAGAGGCAGGACTCCTCCCATGAAGCCCCATAAGGACACCAAATTCAGATCAGTCTTAACTGTGCATCACAACCTCCCCCCCAACACACACACACACACACACACACACACACGCACCTATAGCTGCACTAGGTTACTGTGGGCTTGTTCAGTGGTGGCCAAAGTGTATGTTGCCTCCAACACAGAGAGGCTAGATGGCTACAAGGAAAACAAGCATTTCCTCCCTATTTCAAGCACTAACAACATGATTATGAAGGGGGGGAAATGTGCTTATTAAATGAGTTGAAGGCATTTTCCCCACTGGGGAAATTTTTAAATCACCTTGGTTTATAAACTAGAGCAGAGCCCTAGAAAGTTACCAGTTACCTTTAAAGAATTAAAATAATATTTAGCATCACCCACATCCATTAAACTAAGAGCCACCCTGTCTTACCAGGGGCAAGCTTTCCAACAAGCAAACCATAGACAACAGAGCTCTCACTGAGAGGAGTGTGGCTTGGGGAGGGTGGAATGCTGTCACATTACAGCAATCTACATTTTAATTTGGGGCTTTTCAGTTCTGGGCCTCATGCAAAGAAATGCACCTCATCAACTTCCTAACAGTTAAAAAAACACGTATGACAATTAGGGCCAGATTCTAATTTGTGCTACAGCCCTGTGATAGAAAAGGTGCATGAATGAAGTGCAATTATTTTACTATAAGATAGAGATCAAAGGGTTGTGCAGGAAGTGAGGGGCCAGTACTCAGTCCTCACAAACCCCTCAAACAGTTACTACTTCATAATTATATGTCATTATAAAGCAGGTTCTTGAAATGTAATAATTATAATATTGAGAATAACTGAATCCGATTATGTTAATTATCCTAATTAATTAATTAATTAATTAATTGGGCCCTTTGGTGAATAAACAGCATTTGTCACACTCCCTCAAACTTTAATGCATGCTCAAAAAAAAAAAAAAAAAAAAAGAGGAGGAAGAAGAAAAGGAAGAAGAAGAAGAAAAAGTCCAAATAAATGCATAAAACACTGAGATTTCTAAAGCAAACCTGATTTTGATGAGAAACAGCCATTGCTTCTGCAAATGCAAGGTGTGGCCTGACCTGAACCTCTGCACCATTCCTATTTCATAATACATGCTACATGTCGGGTATCAGACCAGACGTTAGCGAATTTTAAAACATTTCTGTAAAGTAAATGGGCATTCTCTATTTTATCAAATTAAAAACACAAGGAAAGAAAAAAAAAAAAGGAAGCATGAGGAAATAAAGGAAGTGCCCAAGACAGCCCAGCCTGTTTAAATGGGGGAGCCAGGGGGAACAGAAGTTGGGCTTTATCATTTTTAAAATACTTCATCACAAAGAGAAGTTAAGTTGCAGTGTTCTTGGCAAGCGCTGCCAGGTCTTCCTATGATTCAAAGACAAATTATTTTAAATGGATCATTAGCAGAGTCTATAAAGTTACAACTCAACACTAACATTAGGGAATATGAAACCTGATTACATTTTTCCTAATTAAATGTTTTTTATTGGAAAACACTAAATTTCAGAGCTTGTTCTACAAAATTCTAAAACACACAGATACATCTTACTGCCTCAGGCAATGTAATATAACTTTCACTTTTTCCTGGCTCAGACTTCAGATTCCTTAACATAATGATATCAATGATCACAAGAGATGGGAATGACTTCGAATTGAATGTATTCAATTTCCAAAATGAAATCTGACATAAACTTTATTTTCTTTTTCCTAAAGTGAAACAGAAATAAACAAGCATAAATCTTTCTTACATCTATACAGCCTAAATACAATGTTTTCAATATATTCTTTTTTAGTCTTACCTCCACAACTTTAAAAAACAATTCTTAGAATTTAAGCAGCCAAGGTGAAGAGGAGTGAAAGACCTGCCAAGGTTAAATGGAAGTGCCCCTGACAGATCCCAGCCCTGGACTTCAGGACCCTACTCAAAGCAGTTAGCTCTCCCCACCCATTTTATCCAATGAAAGAACTCCATGCATGAATATTTAATGTACATGCAAACATATGCTTGTGTGTACTTATCAGTGAAGGACCTAAGAGGCTAGTTAAACTTCATTAAAAGTTAAAGATTTGGGCTGGGGTTGTGACTCAGAGGTAGAGTGCTTGCCTAGTATGCGTGAGACACTAAGTTCGATCCTCAGCACCACATAAAAATAAAATAAAGATATTTATTGTGTCCACCTATAATTAAAAACTAAATATTTAGGGGGAAAAAGTTAAAAGATTTGACTTCTTATATACTTCTCTCCCTTTCAATCCCATTTTCAACAGCTTCAAATCTAAAATATAAATCTGAAAAGATGACAAAGACATGTTATTCTTAAACTAAAACAGATATCATTAAACACAGAGAGTAGACATATTAAAAGAGGACTGGAGCTGGGGATTTCACTCATTGGGAGAGCACTTGCCTAGCATGCATGGGACCTGGTTTTATTCCGTAATACAAAAAAAAAGAATGAATGAGGGTTGTGGCTCAGTGGTAGAGTGCTTGTCTCTAACACTGGGTTCGATCCTCAGCATCACATAAAAATAAATAAATAAATTAAAGGTACTGTGTCCATCTACAGTTAAAAATATTTTTTTAAAAAAGGATGAATGGGCTGGGGCTGGGGCTGGGGCTCAGCGGTAGAGCCCTTGCCTAGCATGTGCGGGGCCCTGGGTTCAACCCTCAGCACCACATAAAAATAAATAAATAAAGGTATTGTGTCCAACTACAACTAAAAAATAAGTATTAAAAAAAAAGGAATGAATGAATACCTGAATGATTAAAATATAACAATATCATTTTCAGGAAAACTCATCATCATAAAGCTATTAATTATTTTATAAATTAATCCATAATTTTAATGAAATTTTGGTAAGATTCTCCATGGGGTTTGGCATGCTGATCACAAACATGCCATAACAAAGAATTAAGGGTGCAGGGCGGTCCAACACCTGTGAATTAGGTTGGGGTTCCCACTCTACCAGAAGCCTGAGACAACCAGAAGACTTCAGACAGGGCACGCAGAACCACACAGACAGGGCCATCAACACCTGAGGGCCGAGCTCTCAGCAGATGGTGCTGAGAGCACAACTGCGGTGGGCAAGGGCAAGTCAGAGCCCTGCTGCCACACAAATACACAAGTCAGGACTGCATTACACACTCAAGTGTAGAAATAAAAAGTTTAAAAACCTCAGACAAAAATGTCTTCATCCCTCTGGGAAGAGAAAGAAGTTTTTCTTCAAGATTGTTTTTTTTTTTTAAATTATAAATCCAGAAAACATGAAAATAAAATCAACACATTTGACTTTAAAGTTAAAAAACATACTCCCCTTTCCCAACAAAACACCCCAAAAAGTGTATGGCACATGATTAAAAGCCTCATGCTAGGAAGAGGTACCTGTAACATGTAAGACCAAAGATTATTTATCCTGCAAATCAAAAGAACAAAATAAGCCACATGATTTGAAAATACAGGTAAGATATAAAGACAAAGTAACTCAAGAAGAGAAAATCTGGGGCTGGGGATGTGGCTCAAGTGGTAGCGCGCTCGCCTGGCATGCGTGCGGCCCGGGTTCGATCCTCAGCACCACATACAAACAAAGATGTTGTGTCGGCCGATAACTAAAAAATAAATATTAAAATTCTCTCTCTCCTCTCTCACTCTCTCTTTAAAAAAAATAAAATAAAATACATTACTCATGATTTTTCAAAAATGATGATTGAACAGATTTAAAAAAAAAAAAAAGAAGAGAAAATCTACAGTCAAGGGGCGTGTGAAAATAATGAGTTAGCATCAATTATCTGTAATCTTGGAAGTGTGAATTAAAACAATGAGAATCTGGGCTGGGCTGGGGCTCAGTGGAACCTGCCTAGCATGTGTGAGGCACTGGTGTTCCATCCACATAAAATAAAGGTGCTCTCGGCAAATGGTGCTGAGAGCACAACTGCAGTGGGCAAGGCAAAGTCAGAGCCCCTAAAAAAAAATTTTTTTAAAGAGAATCCATTTATTAGAACTCAGAATATGCCAATACTGAGAATTTACATTGATTTTTTTTTTTTTAATGTGAAGAAAAGCCAGGTGTGGTGGCACTGCCTGTAATCCTAAACAAAACAGAGTTGGGGGTGTGGCTCAAGTGTCCCTGACTGAGTTTAATCCCCAGTACCCACGCCCCCGCCCCGCCCCCAAAAAATGTGAAGAAGAAAACCTGCAGGCTGGCTGAAGGGAATGCAGACTGAAAACCTCTCAGACAGCAAACCAGTAACCAATCACCAGGAAGACTACAAAAGCGCATTTCCCCCAGGGGTACAAATCTGGGCCACCCACCCCACATTCCGGAGAATGCATACAGAGGGACTCAAGGAGACAGGACAAGCTATGTCTATGTTTTTAACAGCTGAACCTAAGACCAAAATGGTCCTCAGGAGGACATGTAAATAAACTATTGCATTAGAGCCATGGTACTGAGCAATTAAAATCAAAGAACAAGAATAAATGTATAAGCACAGATAAGCTGAAGCATACAATAGTAGCTTAAAATAAACTACAAAGGATGAACACAATATATCATTCACATGACATTTTGAAGCCCACAGAACACTACAATTTACTCCCTGGAGACAATAGATGTGCATGTAGCCTAGGTGAACAACATAGTCAGGAACCGCATGTGACACCTGCCACAGAGCTCTTCCAGGGCACAGAGGGGAATGAGATGGAGGCAACAGGCTCCAACTGCATCTGTAATAGTTTTTTCATTTTTTGAAAATATAAGGCAAATACAGAAAAATGTTAATATTCATCAAATCTAGCTCGTGGGTTTAGGCATTTCTCATATTAGTCTGTACTTTTCTGTAGACTGGAATTCTTCATTCAAAAACAAATTAAAAATCAAGAAACAAATACAACCATTAATTGTATTGATTTACATTTATTCACTAAAACAGCTTTGTCTTACCTCAACTGAAGAGCGAGGAGTCACAAAGAACTGATTGAATTCATCAGGACTAAAATCTCCAAAAATATACTGGGGGAAAAAAAAGAGAGAATCAGCCATCACATAAAAAATATAAATCATTTATATTCTCCCAAAAATACTATGTGTATGGTAGCAATCCTATGCAATATTTGGGCCAGAATACCCAAAATCCTTTTACAACTTAAACTGAGGACTGCAAACTGAAATTTTTCTATGTGTACTATTTACCAACTACTAAAAAGAAAAATCTTAAACTTTTCCATAAACTGTCAAAGAACACTACTCTAAAATTGACAAAGTTTCTTGTGAAACATGTCAACTGTGTACAGCAAGCGTAGTCCTGCTGATGGGAGAGATTTCTGATCCACCAGTATTTCCGGTTTGCCTTTGAACCTCCATTCACTTTTCTGCTGACTCATGTCACCACCTCCATTTCAATTTTCCCTAACATAGCAAAAAGCTGAAAATGAGTTTCAAGAGGGAAGAGAGGTAAATCCAAAACAGACAAGTGTTAATGATCCTGATAATGATCTCTAAGTATGTAATTTCTTTATTTTAAAAATGCACTTGAACATGATGCACAGACACATACAGCAGATAAACGCAGCATCTAGCTATGAGACTTGATTTCACAGATTTTTGGAAAAACACATGGCAAAAGCACAGATGAGCGCCAGCCAGTGCCCACCAGTGTATGCCTCCTGGAGTTGCAAGAAGTCAGTCACTGACAAGAACCATCATTGAGTGATTTCCACAGCAATTCCTTGATCTTTACTTGAAAACTACTAAGTGTGGGGGGCGGGAGGAACAGTCCTCTGCTCTGCACAGCTTAAAATCTATTAACTTATAGGGAAATTTATATACGTATGCCTCAAAAATAACCTGTAACTAGCCACACGCAGTGGTGCACACCTGTAATCCCAGCAACTTGAGAGGCTAAGGCAGGAGGATCATAAAAGTTGGAGACCAGCCTCAGCAACTCAGAGAGGTCCCAGGCAACTTAGTGAGACCTTGTCTCAAAATAAAAATAAAAAAAGGGTTGGGGATGTGGCTCCGTGGTTAAGCATCTCTTTGTTTAATCCCTGGTAATAAATAAATAAGTAAATAAATAACCTGTAACTAAATATTAGATAAATGGATAATACTCATTACTATAATAAATGCAGAAAAATGGTAACCAATTTTCACCTCTGCTGGTAGTTTGCCCTGCACAGGAAAGGACCGGCCCTTGAGGGAGGTCTCTTGGTCAGCCCCCAGCAAATAAATGTCTCCACATACTTGCAACAAGCCCATAACACCACTATGTGTTAACAGTAATAGTGAAAAGTAACAGTCTCAAAATGATTTAGGGGTGATCTCAGATCTTCTTATCTTCAGCAACAAGGGGGAAAGTTTAAATTTCACTCAGGCACATCCCAAGCAATGGAATGGTGAAAAGGAATTGGGGAAGCTATTAGAAAGTGTGGAGACTAGCCTACTAAATGTAAAGAGCTAAATTTAAAACTCAATAGGTTTTAACAGCAGAACAGCAAAGCTATAAAGCAATGGGACAAAATATTTGGGAAGTTCAAGAAGTTACTTTGTTCCTAGAATTCCACAGTACTTTTTTTTTTTTCCATAGAATTCCACCCTATTGTCAGATTATTACTCAAGTGCAAAAGAAAACTAACATTCTCTGGTGAGGGGTGGAGCACTGTGCTTAGCAGGCATGAGGCCTTGGTTGGGCAGGGAAGGTGGAGGGCAGAAGAGGAAAAGAAAGAAGGAAAAATAACATACCCATTTTTTGGAAGGGGGAGTGCTCCTTATAAATTCCAGAAAATGAATTCAAAAGGTACAAGAGTAGTAACCAAGGAACTGCTAAGATATTGCAAGTGTGAAGTTAAAACTTAAGATTCACTAAGAGCATGCTGCACTAAAAATCATCCATTGTATCTTCTCTTACCAATGATACCAAAGGATCTATTTTAATTCAGAATGTGGAAAAGACATATAGAGATAAGAACTGGAATGTCCTATAGGATTGTTAGGTATTTTCTTTGGGCAGGTTTTCTTCTAGAAAACTGAAAATGAACGTGAAGTATTGATTTACAATTACACTTCTCAACACACTTTACTGAGTTCTATGTAACCTCAAGTCTTTTAAAAAAAGATCTAAATGGAGGCATAATGTCATCCCAGCAATTCCCAAGGCTGAGGCAGGAGGAGTGCAAGTTCAAGGCCAGCCTAGGCAACTTAGCAAGACTCTGTCTCAAAATTTAACAAAGTGGAAAATGGAGATGAAGCTCAGAGGTAGAGTACTCTTGGGCTCAATCCTTAACAACCCTTCCAAAGGAACTATAAAAGAGGCCAAATATTTATTGAAGAGCGAATTCCATCCAGTGGACATAAATTACACTGCCTTGCCATCTTAATGGCAACTATTTAACTAAAATGATATCTGACTCAAGGCTGAAGCATGTTTTGTGACACCTAAGAGTTTACAAAGAAATTCAAACACAGGGATTGATGCCCAGCACTGGGGGGAAAAAAATTATTTTTAGGGCTAGGAGAATGTGATTCGGCAGTACATTGATTACCCAGCATTCAAGAGGCCCTGGGTTTGATCCCTAGCACCACCTCTCAAAAATAAAGATTTTTTTAGGTTTGGCAAAATGCAGAATGTTACCAAAGGCAAAGGGTGGGGACTGTGCAATTCAAAAAGATCACATCATGTTTCAGATCACAGAAAGCTAAAGAGGAACAAAAACTAAATGCAATACCTGCCCCCGGCTGGATCTGGAGTCACAGGTAGGCACCATGAGAGACAAGGATCTGGACCACAGCATGGAAGCCCACCCTGTATCGGTGTGAGCTTACATGGTGGGAGTTGCAGCCTGTGGTGACGTGGGAGAAAATCTCTCCTTAGGAAAGTCACTCAGGCATTTAGGAATAAAGGAGTTCTGGAAAAATTGTGTCTGATTAAGTGTGTCTGATTCTGAGTCTATGGTCTGGATACCCTGTGCGTCTCTGAGGGGGAATTCAAGCACCCAAAATAATTCAACAAATGGAGTTAAGTCTTAAGTGGATCTGGGTAAAGGAGAATCTGAGCCCTCTTTGTACAATTTTTCTTCTGGCAACTTTTGTATAGTTGAAATTATTTCCAAATAATAAGCTTTAAAGAGAAAAATCTAAAGCTGAAAAACATATTTACTCCTCTCCTTATCTGAATGGGAATGTTTTCCTTTCTGTGGAGGATTAATAAATTTAAAGTCTGTTAAATAAAGGGAAAGATCTATACATCTTTGGATAAAATAAAGATGTGCCTGACTTCACAGGATTCATACTCTAGTGAGGAAGGAAATGCCACTGGTCACATGAATTAATTGCAATTAATTTAGCAAGTGAGACTAAAAAGTAGGAACAAGTCCATGCTTTCCTTTGTTTCCAAAATCCAGTGCAGGACCTAGGACACACAAAGGGTTGCTATAAGGACAAAACAAAGCAGTACCTGAAGGCCCTGGTAAGCCACACGTGCTACAGAACGTCTGCACTGCTGTCCCTAATTCTGACCTTCCAACCGCTCCACCAAGGCTGTAAGGTAAATGCTGGGAAGCTGCCTCAGTCTTGAGGACCCCCACCAAAGTTGGCAGTACATCAGAGTCAAAAAGCAGAACAAGAATGCAGCTTGTGAAGGGCCGGGGCTATGGCACAGTGGTACAGCACTTGCCTAGCATGTGTGAGGCGCTGGGTTCAATTCTCAGCACTGCATATAAATAAATTAATAAAATAAAGATCCATCAATATCTTAAAAAATACATTAAAAAAAAGAGAGAGAGAGAGAGACTTACTAAGCATTCCTCTTGCATGTGCTCTGGCGCCCAGAGTCCAGTTGACTGTGCAGTGAGGCATCAGCCACCCACATTCGTCTTTTGCAGAAGGACCATGCGTGTCCACCCCATCCCGGACTTTCAAAATTTATGTTATTCACATGCATTTATTTTCTGCCCCTTCTAGAGGACATGAAAAAAATAAATACTTCAGGAAAGAGAGGGCAAGCCCACAACACAGATGGGAAGGGACCTCACTGAAACACAGGCGCTTGGCTTGGTCACTCTTGGTTTTGTCTTTGGAGTAAACTGGGGGCTACCTCAGCTATCAGAGGGCCCTGGGAAGGGGTTGGGCAAAGCTGGATATGCCAGTGTCTGTGCCAATGGAAAAACAAAGACATTAGGCTCAGAAATAAATTCCTCAACCTCAGCCCAAAGACGGGGAGAAGGAAACAGCACACCTATAGCTTTTCTACCCAGACTAAAGGGAGCCACAGGAAACCACTTTGAGGACAAAAACTGAGGGTGACTGCTAGAGCCCTACACTAGGGGGCACCAGAGCACAGCATTCTGAGTTCTTAAACTTCCAAATGCTTCACCTCTCTAGCAATTCAAAAGCAAGTATACGTAGGCTGCCCCTAAATTAATGTTCTTTGCCTTCAAAAAGGACGATGGCAATAGATCAGGCTTTCCAGGAGATAATCATAATTTCTTGTATTGGCACCATTCTTTTTTTTTTTTTTTTTAAATATTTCTTTTTTTAGTTTTCGGCAGACACAACATCTTTGTTTGTATTTGGTGCTGAGGATCAAACCCGGGCCGCACGCATGCCAGGCGAGCATGCTACAGCTTGAGCCACATCCCCAGCCAGCCCACTGGCACCATTCTTAACAGTTTCCAAGCTGGACGACCATCACAAAGGCTCCAGAACAGTCTCCCATTTACAGATGCAAAGCTAAGCCAGGCAGGGTCCACCAGCATGACCAAGTCACACCAACACAGGAGAAACTGAGAAATGGGGCTTCTCCTTCCTCATTTCCTTATTTGAGTAAGTAAACATTAAGAAGAAACAACTTTTCTGAGTGATGAAAACCTGGATTTCACCTATGAAATGCTGGACTTCACGACCTTGCAGTTCTACAAGAATCTCCTGGATTTGACAAGGATTAAGGAACATGGGTTTGGAAATGTCATCAGGCTAATACATGTGATGGCCTGATGAACCCTGAAAACATAAAGCTG